GCAACAGCAACAAGGCTTCATCGGAGCCGAGCGAAAATATGCGCTGCGAGTTGCAGGCGTCGACAGACAGCGTGAATTCGAGTTTAGTTAAACACAGTCGACCCTTCCGCTTGGACTTTTCGCCTGCTACCTTCGTTATACACATCATCTCAATCTCAACTACAGCTTTGCTGGCAATCGTTTGATTTTGGCCTTTTGGTCATATCCACACTCATTTTTATCATCATGAAACCTTTCATTTTCCTTACATTTGCTGCGTTAGGTCTCGCCCTTCCCAGCGATATAACTCGCAATGCCACTGATGATGTGGCCGAGCCTACATCGTCAGCCATACCCAGCAAGCCCGTGTTGATCCCTGACGATTCAGTCGTCCACAACTCAACCGAGCGGAAGCTCAACCTCGGCGCTAAAGCCATATCTCCCGCATCAGATGTGCAGACCAACACTCCTTGGTCCTCACCTCTGATCGACGATTGCCCCAAGCTGTGCAGTGTTGTTGGGCCAGATCCATCTAACTGGACCCGTGTGCAACACGAGGGTGATCTTGTACGATGCAAGGCCCCTCTTCTCTTCGACTTCAACTTCCATGTTACTGGCAGCGTCAAGACGTTCCGAACTTGTGCATTCGAGGCTCCTCAATCCACTAGTACTGTCCGTCGCTATGTGCCAGTCGAGGCTCGCCAGAACAATGAATCCATATCAACGTTCTCGCTAGACAACGGCCCAAAGGTCTGCGGAGCATCTGAGTCTACTCTTCAACTGCTTGTGTCGACCAGCCCGAAAGGTGTTATATCGTCTGGGGCTGACGCTGCTGCCGCCGCCGCGAAGATGCTGGGGTCTTATCTTGCAGAAACTGCTTCATGTGGCCGTTCAATCCTTTTTGCGAGGGTTGATACAGCTATTGTTGCTCTGTATGTCAGTGCCGATGTCGTGACTACTAGTGTCGCCACGTTAGTGCTTGATACCTTCGCGACGAGCGTTCAACAAGGCAGCGAGCTGGTCCAATCATGCGACACAAACAGCCTCAACCCCTATACCATTGGGCTGTTTGCTGTCAATGGAATTGATCAACTTGGAAGAGCACAGAGGGCTATGCAGACTTGGTCCAGTGGTGAGTGTGTTAGAGACCACACCAACAGTTCAAAGTCTTTCGAAGGCGTTGGCGTGCTCGGCGCTAGCGATTTGGTCGTCCTCCCCTCCAACTACACGTCGAATTCTACCACAAAGCGCGGGGTCTCCAACTTGACGCCCAGAGCGGTCTGTAACGCTATTGAGGTCGAAAAGGATGATGGTTGTGCTTCACTGGCATCTCGATGTGGTATCAGGGGAGCAGACTTTCTCAAGTACAACACCAAGACCAATCTTTGTGCGAATTTGATTCCTGGCCAACTTGTTTGCTGTTCACCGGGAACTCTGCCAGACAATACACCGCAGCCACAACCCAACGGCATATGTGCAACCCATAGTATCAGCTTGGGAGACCTCTGCTGGTCTATTGCCGACACCTACGGAATCAGCGAGACGGACCTTGAAAAGTACAACACCAACAGTTGGGGCTGGGCTGGGTGCAACAGTCTAAAACAGGACCAGATCATCTGCATTAGCAAGGGCAACACGCCGATGCCGGTACAACTTCCCGACGTGGCTTGTGGCCCCCAGAAGCTAGGCACGCAGATGCCCTCTGGCACTTATGATGGCTGGGATCTGGCCAAGTTGAATCAATGCCCGTTGAAATCTTGTTGTTCAGGATGGGGGTACTGCGGAACTACGGCCGAGTTCTGCACGGAGTCGCCTGCAGATACTGGAGCGCCTGGGGCCTTCAAGAAGGACACCAACGGGTGCATTTCCAACTGCGGGATGGAGATCACCAACAACAAGAGTCCTCCCACTGAGTTCAGACGCATCGGATATTTTCAGGCGTACAACGAAGCTCGAGGATGCCTGACTATGGACGCAAGTCAGATCATGGACATTTACGAGACCTACCCGTTGACACACATCCATTTTGCTTTTGCCGGTCTCACGCCTGATCTCGACGTCAAAATCGCCGACAACGTCAAAGACCAGTTCGACAAGTTTGTCTCCATGGATGCGCCTTTCAAGAAGATAATTTCTTTCGGCGGTTGGGCCGAATCTACTGATCCCGCCACTTATCAGTTGTATCGCGACGCTGTTAGTCCGACGAATCGCGAGCGGGTCGCTAGCAATGTGCTTCGCTTTTTGGATGCGAATCCAGGACTTGACGGTGTCGATTTTGATTGGGAATATCCGGGTGCTGACGACCAGGGTATTCCCGGTAGCGATCCCGTTGATGCTATCTACTACAGTCGCTTCCTGAGCCTCATGCGAGACAAGCTTGGAAAGAATGGTCGCTCGCTCTCGATTGCCATCCCAGCTTCTTACTGGTATCTCAAGCCTTTCCCTGTGGAGGACATGGCAAAGGTGCTCGACTACTTCATTTATATGACGTACGATCTTAATGGACAATGGGGTAAGTCCAAACATTTCACCGCCTACCATCCTCCATTTCTTCTCCATTCCTGTTTTGGGACAACGTTACTGACGATTATCTCTGCTCTGTAGATTACGGAAACAAATATGCCAACCCGGGCTGCGAGAATGGAAACTGCCTGAGATCCCACGTCAATATCACCGAGACCACGAACTCCCTTGTCATGCTTACCAAGGCTGGCGTCTCCGCTGATAAAATCATTGTTGGAGTCACCAGCTATGGTCGAAGCTTCCGCATGGCCGACAAGAGTTGCACAGGACGCAACTGCTTGTTCACAGGCTCGCGAACCGTTTCTGAAGCCGAGCCCGGTATCTGCACGGATACCGGCGGCTACAGTGAGTGGAACCCCTCCATTCTTCATTGCTGTCATCAACTGACCAATTCTCAATAGTATCCAATGCCGAGCTTGACCAGATTTTCACCTTTGCAGAGGAGGGTGAGCCTGGGTACGAGGCCAAAAGGTGGCACGACGGACCCACGAACTCAGATATCATGACCTACGGCACTATGGGGAACGGCATGACGGACTGGGTCGCATACATGAGCGACACGACCAAGTCAACGCGTTCGGATTGGATCAAAGGTCTGAACTTTGGCGGCACCACCGATTGGGCCATTGATTTGCTCAACTTCCTTGGTGCACCAGAGGGTCAAGAAGGTGGATTCACTGTCGACGGTGGGGAAAACTTGGAATGCAATTCTGAGACTTGGCCCACGAATCTGGACGATCTCGAGAAGAACATCGACAACGTACCGCCCCACTGCCGTTCTATGGCGTTGCTGAACGTTTTGATCAGAGACCTTGAGAAGGTGATCGCCGAGTACAGAGATGTTGCAAGCTCGAGTGACTATGACGACAGAGTATGTTCCCCTTTTCACCTGCTTGTCTTGATGGTTTTGTTTTACTTCATAGCTGGTCGTAAATGATAGCTGACTCAAGGTCTCGCAGTTCTGGTGGTATGCCGATTGGGTGAAAGACTCAATAGACGACCGTCTTGAAGAGTTCTTGAAGATCGGCACTGGAGAAGGGTTGAAGTACATGGACTGCGAGTGGAGTTCAAAGTGCAACAGCGGCGAGGGCCCTTGCACCGAAGCCCATCTGTCTTACCCTCCTGGACCTTCGCCGGGACCTCGCACCGTCACTTTCACAATGCGCGACGAAACTGGCTTCTACGATGCTTTGGCGAGTAAGGCGGGCATACAAAGGGAGTGGATCACTTGGCGAGACATGGATGCCATTAATGACCCCTGTGTGTGCCCGCCGACACAACCGGGTATCTGCCCGGTTGACTGCACCATGAACTACTACATGAGAAAGAACTGGCCGAAGAGAGTCAGCGACAAGGACAAGATCGAGATTGAGAACCCCAAGAGCATCATCGAGGAAGCAATTCCGTCCACCGATGTTCTTGTTGGGACAATAGTCGGTACTTACATCGAGATGCGGATGGGTGTTCTCGACGCTGATGAAGCCGACGTCCTCACTGCCTTTAGCATGCCTCTCCTCATGATGCAAGACGCTTCCAATAGCATCAAGGAGATCAAGGAGATTGGCAAGGAACAGAAAGAGACGAAGACGCGCGAGCTTGTCCTCGGCATTCTCAGTATCGTGTTCGCTGTCATCCCTTTTGCTGGGCAAGCCGCAACGGCTCTGGGCGGTGCCGCTCGCCTGGCTTCCATGGCATTGATTATTGGAGAAGCAGGAAACGCCGCGATATCCATTGTCGATATTGTCAAAGATCCCAACTCGGCTCCTTTCGCCATCCTTGGCATGTTGGTTGGTGCTGCGGGCATGCGAGGTGGCAAGCCACCCCGGGAGGCATTCGCAGAGGCGGGCAAGGCTCGTCGTGCTCTGACCCCGAAGATGATGGAATCATTCTCGCCCGAATTTCGACGCAAGGATGGATTGGTGCAAAATGTTGTTAAGACTTGCAAGGTGCGGTAAATGCAAGTCGAGGTGTATGCAAACATAAATGCCCTGCATCTCAGACTCCTGGTGACAATAGTCTGGCACATATATAGGTCCTCCAAAGTGTTCTTTTTTTTTTTGTAATACCTTGTTCGCATTAGTAGAATTTATTGACTCTTCTTCTGTTTGTATAGTTGTTTCTTTTTGTAGGGATCTCAAAATCCAACTTCTTTGATCAGAATGCTCAGACCAGTTTCGTGTCTTAGTGTTGTCAGGTAAATTTGTTGAGGCAGCCCAGTTACAAAACACGCAGGTTGCAACAACGAACCGCAAAATCTTGATATTTTGAAAAACTTTCCAGGCTTTTATGTATCCATTAACGTCAGCATGTAACATATACAATAATCAAGTTTCTGGAAGTGAGATGCCACGGGAGGGCGACAACTAAGGGAAACATCACCTTTCTGCCGTCAGGCACCGCCTACCACAACAAATCTGTTTATGGGTTTTCTAACAGCGAGCTGCCAACTTCATCTGCTCCCAATCATCTTACATCAAGACAACCCCAGCTGGCTCGCCATGATTGACCTGCCGGGAGATTATCTCAGCGTCGACGAGTACGCCGAGGATCTATTGGAGTTCATCAACACCCCCTTGGTTCAGCAAATTACTGGCGGTATCCATGTCAATGATGCGCTGATTTATAACGCGTGGGAGGCACTGCCTCCGGATTGGACGTCGTGGTGGTCATCACTGCCAGATCATCGTCTGGCGCAGCAAGATTTGATCGATAGCATCGATGAATCAACAGATACCACGACCACGAAAGTTAACGACAGAAAGCTGAAGCCAATTCCAGGGCTACCAGACTCACTGAAAACTTGGTTGGAAATTATTCGGTCACTCTCGCTTCCCCGTACCCAACGTGCCGGTCCCAGGATCTCCCTGCCCGAAATTTTGACAGCTCGGATGAAGACAAAAAAGATCGATGAAGTTTCTATTGCGACTGCCTACATCCAGGGGGTTTGCCAAGCCAACAACATCACTCGCATCATCGACATGGGATCCGGGCAAGGTTACCTATCCGTATCGCTTGCCTACCTCTACCCTAATTTGCACGTATTGGCGATAGATGGCAGCGAATCTCAGATTGCTGCTTCGACATCGTGCGCTGCCAGCCTTGGAATCGAGGACAGGATACAACACTTGCTGCGTTACATCGATGGCACTGGACCGCTGGCAGATGAGATCGCCGCCTGGGCTGGAGGAGAGAAATGCATGCTCGTCGGCTTACACGCCTGCGGGAACTTGTCTGAGCACATGCTCAGATACTTCACAACAATACCCTTCATCGAGTGTTTAGGTGCAGTTGGCTGCTGCTACAACCACATTGTGCCCCTTTCTGACAGCTGCCCCAATGGCTTTCCGATCAGCGCAAAAATGAGGGACAGAAAGCTCACCTTGAGCGCCACAGCCCTTATGACCGGATGTCAAGCACCAAACAACTGGGAGAAGGCGGATCCGAGCAAGGAAGAGTCGGTATACTCAAAACGACGCTTTTATCGAGCGCTTCTAGAGAAAGTGTTCTTCGACAAGAGCATTGAACTCGACAAGCAAGATCGGCCGGTTTGGGGAGTGCGAAAAGGCGACATGGCCAGCTTTACAAAGTTTGCGAGCCGAGCAATGCATTGTCTGGGCATTGACAAAAGCGATATAAGCGATGCTGAATTGCTCAAATATGAGGCTCGTTATGGAAATTGCGAAGGCAAAGTAGCGATTTTGTGGACATTGAGCGTGCTTTGCTGCAAGGTCGTTGAGAGTGTAATTGCCCTTGATCGGTACTGGTTTCTCGTTGAGAATGGAGCGCAGAACGTGGAAGTTTTACCCATCTTCGATTACAAGATTTCACCAAGAAATCTGATGCTTGTAGCTGACAAGGGGTGTGAATAGTCTGGCGCATTGAGTTAGTAGCCTCAGATACCCGGTTGGCTTGGTCAAGATTTTCTTCGCCACGTGAACCACCTATAGGCTATGAAGACTTTAGGTTCAAGTCCAAAGAGGAACATTGAACCCTGAGAATTTAGCAAACGATCTCCGCATCAAATAGACCTGCTCAAATCTGCAGTCTACTGAACACTCTCTCCTTCAACAACGCCCAACCACCATCGTCTTCCACACGCTCAACGCCTCAAACACATCACCAATCAGTATATATCCTTAACCTCCCTGTCCAATCATATCTTAGTAATGACAGGCAAAGCTTCAAGAAAGTCACCTAATAAGCCTGGCAAGCCTAGCCACCAGTCAAATCCACCTACACTGAAACAACTCACGACTTCGATTGTTCGCGATGACCCTGTTCTAGGCTACAAGTTGCGCGTCCTTTTGTTCGACTTGCGAAACCTTGCGAAGGATGTCAACTCAGCGAAACGCCTCAATAGCACCACAGACGAGCACTACATCAGCGAACCGTATTTCGAACCTGAGCAAGCCAAACTTGTTAAGTCTACTATCGTAGACGTCGAATTCAACAACCACCTCGACCCCAATGCAGAGCACGAGGAACCATTCACAGACGAGCCACAGCCCAACGACAGAGAAATGGGCGAATCTGCAGTCTCTCGTGTACGAGGTCAAACGGTAGACACAGCTCTTCGGATGATCATGGACAACTTCCTCGAAAAGCGGAAGAGCAGTGGAGATGCGCGCCCTTGTGGCCCCCATGATTTGGCGCCCGTGTATCTTGGTCTTTTCGGCATAACAGTAGCCGACTTACAAGACCACAAATTCATAAGCCGCCTAGCGCGATCAGGGGTATGATTACATGGACGTAGCATGTTTGAGACATCCTCTTCCAGAGACAGTAGAATACTCCTAGCTATTCGGGCAAACGAGTCAGAAACAACACGAATAGAAGGGACGACAAGGACGACAAGAAAGACAAGGGAGAGAGGCACGAATGCTAATAATTAAACAAGAGCAACAAGAAGGTCAGTATACATGCAAAAAAAAAAGGCCTTGGAGGCCCGGTTGCGGCTGGAGCTCACAACCAATAGCATCATATCGTTTTGAGACAAGATGAAAGCATCCGCATTACAGCATCAATCATCATTCTTCAAAACTGCCTTGGCCGTTTCTGTGGTTTCTCCATAGTCCCTAACGAGCTCCTCCGTCGCAGGATGCCTACGCACCTTCCATTGAAGTCTACACCAGATTAGGCCACAGAGACTTATTCAAGATACCCCCGCCGATAGCCTGCTTTCCTGGAGAACTTTATTCAGCCCAAATGGGAAAATATCGCTCAGGCATGGATGACTCGAGCATTCCGGACCCCGCAAAAGGCGACTTCACCAAATTCAACGCGGCCATCATCGTCCTCGTAGGTCTTCTCGAGAAGGCTGGCCCCGGAGGGCTGGACAAGGCCGTAGAATCGGCCAAAAGGAAGATCCCCGACTACATGAGAAGATTCAAAATCACAAACGGCTTCAGATTCCTCGTCTTCGCTAATGACTTGTTGAAGTGGCAGCCAGAGGAGGACGTCCAGAGCAAGGACATTTACGACATCCTCTGCATTTTCTACTTCATTCTCGACCAGGAGCCGCTCCTTGGACTGCAAACTCGAATCACACCGGAGTCGGTCCGCCTACCTCAGAGTCCGCTCTCCAGTTGGATAGTGATGTTCTCGCAGCTCATTGGGCAGTTCTTGGACACTCCCATGTCCGTCACCCCTCGGACCCTGGAGTCCTTCAAAAATTCCCCAAAGTACGAATATCACGAAGCCGTAGAGCCTGAAGGGGGGTTCCGTACCTTCAACGACTTTTTCTCTCGCAAGCTGAAGCCGGGAATGAGGCCTATCTCTCACCCGGATGACGACAAGGTTATTTGCTACCCTGCCGACTGCACGTACGACAACAGCCTTGAGAACCAGAGCATTGTAGCCATCAACAACATGGGTGAGGTTCTCATCAAGGGCATTCCATGGACTATAGATAACCTGCTACATGGCAGCAAATATGCGTGTGAGTTCAATGGCGGGATCTGGATGCATGCATTTCTCAACACGTACAACTATCACCGCCAGCATGCGCCTATATCCGGTACTGTACTCGAGGCAAAGAACATCCAGGGGGCGGCCTACATGGAGGTCAACGAGAAGTGCCAACCCATCCGAGAGATCCCGGTCTCTGGTGAAGGAAAGAGGCAAGACTCCAAGTCCGTGCTGGAGGTGCCCGACTGTCCGGGCTACCAGTTCCTCCAAACTAGGGGTTGCGTCATCATCGACAACCCGGTGCTCGGGAAAGTGGCCGTGCTGCCGATTGGCATGGCCATTGTATCGGGTGTCAGGTTGACAGTAAGAGAAGGGGATATAGTGAGAAAGGGCGACGAGATCTCAACCTTCTTGTTCGGGGGGTCGGATATCATCCTCGTGTTCCAGAAGAAGGCAGGCTTGCAGGTCAAAGACTTTGTGCCCTCACCAATGGACGAAGCCGGCAACCAGACCCATTCCAAGTATGGGACCATTCTTGCGAGGGCGCCTTAACGACTAAGAAGTATCTTGGAACGAGGAGGATGACCTATGAACGATGGTCTCATTCGAAAGACTACGCTCTCTGAGTTGGTACATGGAATGAAAAGCAACGCAGATTATCTTCATGAGACTAATAACATTACAATTCTCCGCATGCCGCGCCTCACTTTTCCTCGTCTTGCTGCCGTGCTCGGGGGTAATCATCAATCTCACTCCCAGGGATAACCTCAATAATCCTCTGTCCGCGGCCCCTGCGCATCTCCCTAATCTCGTAGGCTCGATCTGCCCTTGTTCGAAATCCTTGCCATCCACCTCTGCTGTGCTCACGACGATGCCCAGAGTTGTAACGGTGCTTTCCGACTGTAGCAGCGTCACTCCGCGGATGACTCAGTCTGTGCTCACTGAAAACCGGGCTCGTGTCTCTACCTTTTCCTGAACCTCGTCTTGTTGTTCGGCTGTCGTCATCGCTGCTTTGCCGAGAGGAAGAAGAAGACTCTTCGTACCTCGGCTGCGGCGTCCTCCTCTTGGCTGATATCGAGGAACCCCAACTCATCCTCCTTCTTGCACCTCCACCTCCGCCACCGTCTCCAGGCCGTCTCGGGCCCCTATCACTACCGTGTCCAGGTATATCACCAAGATACATTTGCCTAACCATCATTCGAGTATACGTAACCTCCCTCTCCGTCCTCCTTGCCATGACTCTCATGACCTCGTCTCCTAACTTCTTCACAGAATCCTTCACTTGCCACCAGATAAAGCGATGCGCAAAGTCACACTTGTACAACGCGCTCCAGTCCGCAAAACTCCCCATTTCACCATGCTTCTCAAAGTCGCTGCGGACCTTCTCGTCGAGGTCGTTCTCGCCCCACGAAGCCCCGTTGTGAATCGCCTCGGCTCGGTGCCCGCTCGCCACCAAGAATGGTCTTTCAAGTTCCTTGAAGGTTCTCCAGAGGTCGCGGAGCGTCATGTAATGCAGCGGCAGCGTCTTCTCTGCATACTCCAGCGCCCTGCGTGCTTCGGCGTTGGCGTTCTTTTCTCCGATGTGAGAAATCTTCTGTCGTAGTTTACTTTTGCCCCTGATCTCTTTCGTTTGGTGACGCAGCGCCTCGCGTTCTTCGCAAAGCTGCTGTCGAAGGTTTCCCAGAGAGTCGCGGATCTCGCTAGGCGCAGCGCGGATTGTGGCGACGAAGTTGGCGTACAAAGCGATCAAGTTGAGTGTCGTCAGGGCAAAGCCCAGGATCCCCGTCACGAATGATAGCCAGTTCAGAGAGTTCGGGACGTCGGCCGCCATTTTGTGCTCGCGAGGGCTTCTGCGGCTTCTTCCTGCATGCTCGCGATTCCACTTAGCTGAAGGGCCGTGCTTAGATCTTAAAAGGGTTGAGCATCCTTCATTTAGTATTCCTGTGTAAGTCTTTCACGTGGTGTTTAGCGTCTCTCATCAGCGCTACTTGGACTTGATTCTAACGAGTGCAGAAAAAGGCGTAGCGTTGCCAGTTGTCATGGACCTCAAGACTCCCGAAGGCTAAGACAACTAACGTCCTGCAGCCTTTGAATTGGTTGTGTAGTCGAGGTGAGCTCTAGTCCTAAGGCCGATGCAGGATAACATTAAGACCGGAGAGACTAAGGAATTAGTCGCGTCAACTCGACTAACATACAACAGTGATTCGACGACCTAGATGGTTCGTCAGATATTGCAAGGATGGGCTTGCAAGATCCATCTCAACTAAAGGCCAGCTGATGGTATTGCATCTTTCGTGGATACGACGGATGCAGGAGTTTACTTCGTCTTCGTCATTTAAGCTCACAAAGACCTGCAGGATAAGGCACCAATGTGATTATGCAATCCTTCGAGCGGCTTGGGAGGAACTGAGATCTTAGTGCTGAGTCGCCTTGAATCTGGTGATGGATGACGATCATGAAAGCCGTCGCATGTTGAGGTTTCTCGAGTACAGTTGGTGGAAAGCAGACATCGGATAGTAGAAGAGGCGCATCAGCTGCCTGGGCCCTTTTGAGGATGTATCAATCACTCGTGCAGACTGTTCCCTGTGTTCGCTGACAAATTGGCAGCTCGCAAAGAGCGTGGAATAATGACAACTTCGTGAACACCATACTGAAGTTGTGTTGCTTGATGTTGTGATGCTGGACGAATTACACTGCAACACTCGCCGCCCTGGAAGCAACAGGAGATGGAGCTCGTCCCCCACCACCCGCCCAGACCAGGATTAGCTCCTGTACTCTTATCGATAAGCCCTGACGTCTCCGACCGTGGGGTAACTCATTCTCTCTCCAATCCAAAAATTTCCCATAGCCAAACCTCCAAGTCTGACTACACATCGCGACGAGGGGAGTCACACCTCCCACCCAACACCACCCGCAAAATGCCCGCCCCAACAGCGACAATGTCCCCCGGGACGCCCGAGCCCATCGACGCCGACGCCGACCCCGTCATCGCCTCCTACGACGTCTTCTTCAACCCTTCCCTCCCGCAGGGCCGCAAGCTCTGGGTCCTGCAGCAACCCAACCGCACCGACCCGCGCCAGGCCACGCCCACCGAGATGCGCCTCAAGACCCGCTCCGGCATGGTCGAGGTCGACGTGCCCCTCGACTACACTCAGTCTTATGACAAGGAAAAGGGCATGAAGTGGGGTCGGCAGCTCAAGGCGAGTCTCGAGGCCAAGAACGGCGGCACACACGGCCTCTCTGGAGGCTTCGGCGTCGGCGCGCCGCCGCCCCGGCCCAAGAGGCGGGGCGAGATCGATCTGGAGGACGAGATGTACCTCGAGTGGCCCGAGGCTGTGCGCCAGGACAAGGTGCTGCGTACGCAGACTCTCGGCGGACAGTGTCCCGATCACAAGGAGGTGCAGTACATGATTGGCGTCTTCCAGGGCAGTAAGTGCTTTCCTCTCCCAATTCGGATGAAGACATCCTTACGAAAGTACTAGAGGATCTCCACCTCACACCCGTAACAAACCTCGTCCATCTCCGGCCCCAATTGCACCACGTCGACGCAGTAGCCCAACAAGAGCGCAACGCCTCCGCCGCAGCTGCCGCCAAGGAGAACGCCGCCGCAGCACCGGCGGCGGGAGCATCGGGTGCAGGAGGCCAGGGCGCTGCGGCAGCGCGCGCGATTCACATGACGATCAAGACGACCCCCGACGGCGCGGCGGCCAAGAACGAGACAATGGCCGACCGTCTGCGCTCGGTCCAGATCGAGCCCTGGCGCAAGCTGAAGTACACGGACGAGAACGACGAGGCCGCCTGGGAGATTTACCAGGAGTCCCTTATTCTCCGCGCCCCTGGCGACAACAAGCCGCCCCCGGCCGAAGAGGATGAGGAAAAGAAGAAGGCCGCTATCGAGGCGGGTGAGGCTGAGACGAAGCCCACGGTTGACCTGGCGGAGTCTATGGCTAGACTGGAGACCACATGGGGCGATGATGAACTGCTGGAAGCTGTCAGTGGTATCAAGAAGCCCAAGCCAGTATCACAGGCAGAGCAGGATGCCGAGGCGGCTGCCGCGGCCGCCGCAGAGGAAGAGGCACGGAAGATGAAACCCAAGGCTCGTGGCGCTGTCGGTTCAAGGCGAGGTGGCAAGGCTAGAGCTGCGCCTGCTCAGGCATCATCGAGCATGGATTTGACATAAAGTGATGCTGGCCAGCATTTTGATTTGCATAGCTTAGGCGTTGCGGTACGTTGTAGACAAAACGGTTCAGGGACGGATTATTACTTTAAATGCAGATTTTGTTTGCTCTAACTAGCAAGGCTGGTCTCGACGCACCGCTAATAATACTTTCGCGGCGTCATCTCATAGAGTCGTGTGTAATGTACACGAGATATGTTTTGTGCATATAGCCATGGGATAGCCCCCCCGCAAGTCCAAGTCTCCATCAAGCTGTAGCCCCCGTACCACAACTTCCCGGTGATTTCGATGCCCTCAAAAAATACGGGCCAAGCGTCGAGTAAGGCTAGCAGCATCCCAAGCTTCCAACGCATCAATAAACAAGTGTAGCGTCCCAAGCATGTGTGATGGCGCAGTCCGCGCCGTGATCGTCCCATCATTCGCACTAAATATCGTCTTACTGAAGCAATTCAACATCCAAACCAATGGAGTGCATAAACAGGTTGACCGTAGCCAACCGGGTCGTTGCCATAGCGCCCGGAAGGGTCTTCGCGTGGGCAACAGTGTCGAGAACACGATCCTTGACAGCAAGAACCAGGCGCTGCTGCTGCTCAGGGTTGGCACTGACACCCACGGCAGCAAGAAGCTGCCAGACGACAACATCCTCTCCGGTGTTGACGCTGCCAGGGAAGATATGATGCAGGGTCGGCTCCAGGATGTTGAAGAAGAGGTTGAAGGTTTGCTCCCTATGAGTGTGTTAGTTGATGTTTTCAATCTCGATCAGGATATGCTTACCATTCGGCCCAAAGCTGAGGGGTGCCTCCACCGCCTTGCTTGAGAAGCTCTGCACGACTCAGAATGAGAGTCAACATAGAGCAGCCCACGCGAGTTCTGGCAATGAGGTCGATGTTCAGCTTGGTAATAAGTCCGAGGACACCTGTGACGATATCGAGCTCGGTCTCGTTGAAGTAGGCAAAGAGGCTGGGCATGACAGCCGCGGAGAAGAGTTCGATGCTCTCACGCATGGCAGCGTTTAGGTTGACTTCACCATCCGTCATCTGGGCACCGCGAACAACATCCAGCTGATCCAAGTGGAGGATAACCATCGTGAGAATAGTGGTGCGCTGCTCGAAGCTGATGTGTCTGAAGACACGAGGAATCGCCTTCTTACCCTTGGGAAACGACAGGAAGGCGATGAAGGGGTGAATGGTGGTAGCACCAATAGGCTCGTGAACCTTGAGGTCTGCCCACAGCTGGCCGTTGAGAGTCTGAGCCACCTCGAGCCACTCCTGATGCTTCGCGTGAAATTCCTCGTCGTTGCCATTGGTGGGCGGGGGAGGAATGTGGCGGGCGTGGTCCTCCATCTTCATGACTGTGGTGTAAACACTCTCAATGT